TAAGGAGAAAGTTGTGATAGATTGACTAGTTGACAATAAAACATAAACTAAACACTTGTGCTTGTATAATAGGTCACTACTGTCCAAATGGTACTATAACTGACGACCAGTATCCATGCCTGCCGGGTACATATACAGGTGCAACTGATCTCACTTCAGCTGATGAGTGCTCTGAATGCCCATTAGGACATTACTGTACATGGGGGACAGGTGAGTCAAATATGACAACATGGCATGTCATTGTGACATACATTATTGAAATTCGCACCAGTATTAGTATTCTGACACATATTAACTTATAAAATAACTGCTCATCTTAAATAAGCTGGTGATAAGTTTTATGATAATTGTTGATAAATTATAAAATTTGATGAATTATAGTTTGTATAATTTTCTAATTAATTGTATATATATTTTATATTATTAGGCGTTGTTAATAATCCACCACGACCATGTCAGGTAGGACATTATTGTCCACCTATGACTCCATCTCCTGATCGCTTTCCATGTCCTCCTGGAACATTCTCACCAAACTCAGACAATTCAGAAGTTGGTAATTGTACTATATGTACTGAAGGACATTACTGTCTTGGTAAGTAATAGATGTATAGAGTTAATTATTATACATCTGTCACTGTAATGCCATAAGTTACAGTGTGTCGGTATTTTACAGAGTATTTTCATCCTACTATATAAGGAAATGCGAATTCCAAATATTGAATGATTACGCGCGTAAGCGTCCTCTAATAATAAAAACAAACATGGCTGCCATCAGGGTTTGACCGGACTCCACACAAAGAAGCTCGCTGATTCTGTTCTAAACTTTTTCATTCCCATTCCCATTTTCCTTCCTTAGAAGGAAAAGATGTATAATAATAAGGTTATTACGGGAATACCTCAAAGTATGCACTCAAATAGTACACCGCGCATAGACCTCCGCTGCACGTCGTTCGATACTCCAAAGCTGTATACTGTCTTCATGCATATTTTGAGGTATTCTCGTAATAACCTCATATTATTTGTTGACAATTAACAAAGTTTCTTATATCTGATGTCTTTAGGTACCAAGGTACATTGTACCTTTGACTTCGTTATCAATCATCACATTGCAAATACCAATGTTTCATGCTGCCAATGTGTATAACATTCAAATGTTTGTAAACAATGCATTTGAACAAAACATGATGCAGCACATGACTGCCATGCTTTAATGAATGTTATTGATTGATTGATTATGCTTTATTTTGTTATAGGTGGTGAAAGTACAGAGTCTGGCATTTGTCCACGTGCTTATTATTGTCCAGCTGGTACTACAATACCTGAACAATATGGTTGTCCTAATGGTACTTATAATCCTAGCTACTCTATAGCATCTGCTGATGAATGTAAAAACTGCACACAAGGTAAGTACAAGGTTTTAAAAGTAGAAATAAAACCCCTAACTGTAGATTATTGACTAATTAAGAGAATACTATGAGAATACTGCAAAGTATACACAAAGGCAGTATGGTGATTATATCGACCTAGGTGTATCAGAGGTCGATGCATTACTGTACCGCCTGAGTGCATACTTTGCGGCATTCTTATGATAACCTTATCATTATACATATATTCTCTGCGATAATAATTTAATGAGACAACAGCAAAAATTGTTTTGTGCATTTGGTGGCTGCATTCTATAACCATGAAGCATGGATAGCATTTCTGCATCTGAAATACCCGGTAAATATTAGAAAATGTTTGAATGTGTAATGTAAACGTCAT